GGGCGGGCGGGCGCGCGCGCGCGCACACACACACACACACCCACACACACTCAAATGTGTTCCCTTTAATTTGTACATTTTACAAGTAACAGCTGCTGGTAAATTAAATATCCGACTTAACAACTCTTCAAAATGGGGGAAAAGAAGGAAGAGCAAAGAACTGATTTGCGGTCAGTCAGAGGCACTTAAACTGGTGGAAGATGTGTGACTCCCATTTTACCTCGTTTGATTGTGGTTGGTTAATTCGGAACACAGCCGCATCCCCCAAGTATGCACACCTGTGCAACCTCCTTGACTCAGTTATTTTACCTCCCCTCTTGAATATATCTCAATGTTGCAGGTCATGTTAATGGTGAAATAACTTGAAATGATTTGTCTTGTTCTCAATATTTTATGTTTCAAAAGCCTATCATCCCAACTGGAGCATACACACTTTTTATTGTCTGCAAAAAATCCAACCAAATCCTCTATAAACAAGTGATGAACGAAATCAGCAACCTTCAAACATAAATGGACATCAACACTTGCTGTGAATTTTCAACCTGTTGCCGTGTGGTTAAAGCCTGCTTCTGATCTTTCTCAGGTCTCCCTGAGATGCAGAGCCCCCGAAGTTTCCCAGTGCGTGTTCCAGAGCTACGAAGCGGTCCTGAAGAACTGAGAGAAGGGGGGGAAACTAAAAAAAGAAATGGCGGGCCAGATGCTGGCCGTCTGCCTCTCCTCCTTGTGGACCACGTCACACTGATTTGCAGTGCTGGACACACTGGTTGCCGCATACTCTGTCTTTCTACCAGCTCCTTATTGGTTTTTCATCATTTATTGGCCCCATTTAGATTCAGTTTCAACCTAATGGAGTTTGTAAGTGTCATTATCTCCTTCTAAATGAAATTAAATAATCCAAATGTGCAGGTTGAGCTCTTGGTCCGACCTGAGCCAAATGTCATCGTCTTATTGTAGAGAATCAACAGAATGCCGCCTCGGCATTCACATCACAATATATTTATTTAGGGTGCTATGTGCTGAATTGCCCTCCTCCCAGACCAACCCCCAAGATGCTCAAAAGCTTCTTATGTACGTGTGAGCTTCAGGCAGATGGTCTTGGCTTCATTCGTATGTTTGTTCATGTTTTCTTTCCTTTTGACAGCCATATCTGGACTTTCTATAGACTGAAACAGCCCTCCGAGCTCTATTGTAGTCATTCCATTCTTTAATTTTCTGTTGGTAGATGTGTCTGTTTGCATCAGGGCAACACAATGTCAACTGAGATGAAGGCTAAGAAAGACTACTTGTAAATGATGAAGTGGCTGTTCTTAACACTAAAGTAATCAGTGTGTGTCTTGGTTGGCTCGGACAGCGCTCAGTTTCTCGCCCTTGTACTCTGAAGATGAATTGGATTTCTTTCTTTTTTTTTTTCTTTTCGGCCACTGCACTGATGGCCTTTTCATCAGCTCTCCGAGGTGAACGCATCTATCACCTTTTATATCGATTGATTCGCAGGTGGCTCTGTTAGCAGTGTTTGTGGAGTCATCTCATGTTAAAAACAAAACAACAAAAAAAACTAATGCCGAATCACTTTTTTGTGTTGTTTGTCCGTTGTGCGTACATCATCCAAAATAGAAATATTAAAAGTCTTGATCAATTCTGCTGTGCTACTTTTTCTTCCAGTTCGTTTTAGGCCAAAATTCATCCCACTGAAGTTATAGTTATAATTTCCCTACTAAAGCCGAACTAAATCTCCCAACTAAAGCCGAATGGAATTGACGAGGTCTTTCAAGTATTCTCCTGACCAACCCCCAATGTCCTGCGTCAAGGTCAGCAGTTGCTCACGCTCAGACTCTCTTTAGCCACCACCCAGCTGACACTGCAACCTTAGCCCCGCCCAATAGTGGTGACTGAAGGAAAGCGGGACCCACATTGTCTTTGGATTGTGCCCCGCCTGGCCAAATGGGAGTAGGCCTGTCTCCCAGGGGCTAAGCACTTTCAGGCCTGCCTCCAGTATGGGGGAGCCTTGGTGAGCTCTGTCTGGGCAATTTACTTTTGTCTTCATCGTGGGAGCAGTGCTTTGACACATCCCATACCCTGCACTTGTTTGCCTTGAGTGATCCTACCAGAGACACAAGTATAGCTTGGATCATTTGTAAACCCCTCTCCCATGATAAGGTGATGGCTGCCTTTTGTTTAACTAAAAAAACGGCATCAAACACGTATCTCACTGGACATTTGGATTATTCCCTGCGATTCCAGTACACAGTGTTTGAAAGTGCGGATCATGAGAATAAAATTGCAATTGCATTGTTGCAAGTTTGGTAAAGTCATCAACCCCTTTGACTAAAATACAGTCGTAGATCGCAATAGATCACTGTTGACCTTTTGCATCCAGACGTGGCAAGCGTCCTCCTCAGCTCTGCATACAAAGTCAGCCTCCTCTTTCTCGTTTTCAATTTCCACAAACGTCTCGAGCTTCATCCACTCCTGCTGAGTGCACCCTCACGTCAAAGCGGCTGCTCTGAGAGACCGTGTAGTGTCTGTGCCGTTTAAGCTTTGCGCTCCTTTTCAGGGAGCTCACCGCGGATTTCAGACCTGTCACTTCAAGGGGGACATGATGCGCCCCTGGGCAATCCAGATCACACGCTGATGTGCTGACTTCTTTGTCCCTCCGATCACTATTGCGACTTTTGTCTCTGCTCTGCAGACGATCAATAAGATTGATCAGGTTTTGTAAATGCCTGTCCACGCAGGGCGTCGCTGAATTGGACACAGACTCCTGCAGTGCAGTGATTGACTTTGCACTCACAAATGCAGTGATGGATCAAGTATTTATGGGGTCCTGAAGATCATTTGACCATGACATCACATCTGCTTGACTTCCGGTACAATGGTGAAATTTCCACTGGATTGTATTTTGATGTTTGTATCACATATTTTATTTATTATTTAATATGTGCAAAGTGGTCTCAGGGCCCCAAGCAGCCACTTGGTTCTCTTATCTGGCGAGCCGCCTCTCTTTATGGAATATTTTCTCAAAGATGTCCGAATTCATCACTTACACATTCTCAGTCAGTCTACCACCTCCCTTCACTATCAATAACACACAGCCACGCGGCTGTGTTCGCTCACTTATCGATTGGTTTACTCTCTCCCCAATGATTCAGTGAGTAATATTAGAGATCATTATAGCGATAACCCAATGGCAATCTCAAACATGCTGAGTATGATCTATCTCTCTCTTTTTTTGGGGGGGTTAATTTCATCAGCGGCTCATTGCTGTGCACTGTGCTAATGAAGCGCTTTTTTTTATCTATGTCTCACAGGCACTTTTCGACCTGGCTGCTTCTGTTAATGAATGACCAACATTGAGCATGCTCGCCACTGTCTCAGCCTACGCCAAACCTGTCCCAATTTTCTTCTATAGCTAATGTTTTATGAGGAGCGAAGCAGAAAAAGGGCTAACTGCCTCACGCTATTAAACACACTGGACTCAAGATACACCAGCTAAATCTAATGAGATCCAATCGTTAAGAGCTGTAGGAAGTGTAGGCTTGTCAATAATAATGTATTCTGCTGGACATCTTATGGATTGTCTCGTTACCTGCAGAAATCCAAAGTAGAGGAGGCAAAACATGTTTACACTGCACAGGAAGGCCTACGCTGAGATTCGAGCCGATGTCCTCTCGACTGTGAAGCAGACGTGCTCAACACGAGATGTCCCTGCTCATAATCTTAGTAATAATTAATGAGAATAATGAATACAAAGGAAGAATAAAATGTACTGTAGTTCAAAATAATTTTGCACTCCCATTCTGCTTTCAAGACAAAATAAAAGGCTCCAAATATAGATATGAGTTCCCACTTATTAATGGTCCTGCTCCATTCACTGATATTAATTTAACACTATGATATTTTTCTTCTTGTGACTGTAGTTTGTACTGGTTAAGAACTGCACTGTCTCTCACTCAATGTGATGCAGTGCAGTTCTAAACTGATATAAACACAAATATTAACCAAAATAATGAACATATTCTTGAATAAATGCCAATCCGTATTGTCTTTGTAATACAATTAACCTATGTATACACCAGTTGCTATACATACAACAGTATCATTGTTAAACGGGCACAGCATTCACACTGTATATTTGTGAGTAAATTGAAATGAAAAATAAAGGGAACACTGAAACAATGCAACGTAACTCCAAGTGTTCCCTTTATTTTTTGGGGGGGAGCAATTCATATTTCTCTGCTAAATCCCTCTTCCTGCCACATCCCATAATGTTGCATGATAGGTTCATCGGAGTCTCTAAATCGTCCATCGGTGTGAATGGTTGTTTGTCTCTATGTATAGTGAACCATGAACACTGCACACCTGTGACCTCAATAATATCCAAAATATTGTGCTGATCACCTTTATATTTTCACAGATTGGATGAACATGAGTAGAGCCGAGCATATGAATGTGGGTAACTATTAATCCACATTTGCTGACAGTAGGTGACAACAGAACAAGACAAGCAAGGCAGTAAACAATATTGCAAGGCTTGTCATCTTCTTTCACAGACGTAATCATGCTGCTGTGAGGGGGGAAAAAAGCTGTGCCCGTCCATAAATAATGTGTGTCATTAAAATGTACTGAATGTAGTCATAAAAAACCGCATTAAATCATGATTGCGTTTTTCAGGGGGGTGAATTTCAGTGTTGACAGCGTTTTTACGTATACTGTACAGATCCATTACATAAGTGTCATTTTTTTTAGCCCAATCAGTGCTCTCTTTAATACCTTGGGCTGGCTCTGGAACAAGTCGAGGGATGGCGCTACGCCTGGGCTCGGGGGGTACGATAGCAACGCCAGATGTTAAGACCCTCAATCATTTCAGTTGAAATTCTAAGATATATTTATTGTTTTAAAAAGAAAAAAAAATCTCAGCCCCCCCTTATGTATCGGGCGTAAAAATATCCTGGAGCCGTGTGCCTAAACAAGTCGTATAGAAAATGGAAGGGGATACTGTACTTCACATTTTTGTTTGGTGTCCTGTAATCTTCTTCTCAGGTAAAATATACGTCTTGCCTCATATAAAGTTTGCGAAACACGACAGAAGTGACTATTGAGTATTCGTGAAAGCCACGTTTCGTTGTTATTTCAAATGAGTTCAGATTTTTACAAGCACTACGGGATACCTGCACTTAAAAGTCGTGTCACTTTTGAGTGGATCCGCGGCCATGGTGGGACTGTGATGGATTGGGCTCATCGTCTCTGTCGTGGCCGTGGAGCCGCTCTCTCCACGAACTAGTCGTGTCCCTCGGCGAGATGATGTGCACTCCCGCATCACCGTGACAGCTTCCACACCGAACCACGTGACAGAGAGAGAGAGGGAGAGAAAGAGAGCGAGAAGCTGGTGCCTTATCCGCAGACGCACGGTGCTCGTCCATGGGATGCCATAACAGAAAGCCCACGTCTGGCACTCCTTTGTGGATTACCTTTTCCATCTTAATATGACCCGGTGCTGATTGAACCCATCTATAGCGTTGATTTGAGGAAGTATAATATGTGGCGGTGGGTGTTTTTACCACACGTGGAGCGCGTCTGGGTGCCGTGTGATGGAGGTGCGTGGAAACGGTGTAGCGTGGGGATGAAGAAGCGATGAAGACACCGAGGGCTCCTGCTTGTCTCGGCCAAGGTCAGATTGGAGCCAGGCTGTGAATATGTCCATGTGGAGGGCACCAAGGTGGGCTCCCTTGCAGGGGGTCTCTTATGGACACCCTCCTCCAACACACACACACACAAACACTTTCCCCATTTTATCCCGTCTGGGGTTTTTATTTTCTTTTATTATTGTCATTTTTACCCATGTAACTTTCCCCCTTGATTTATTGTCATCCACCATCCTTTTTTAAATGCTTTTACTCATGTATTTATTGGTTTACAAGTCTTTCTATTGTTGACAAGCAAACCGCTATGTTTTTAAAAATGGCATGTCAAAAGAAAGTAAAACATTTGTTTGGCACGTGTTTATGAACAACAGTAACATTTTTTTCCTTAGGAGTAATTTTGTGACCCGACTGTCTTCCCTTCCACTCCACAGGATGCCATTACAGAGAACACAAGTCTGCTGGCTGCGTGGATTACTTGTTCGGCCCTCCAGCCTGGAACTGTAACTTGGCTAGCGAGAAATCCAGCTTGACATCCGGGTGTCCAAGGTGTTGACACCAGGAATGGTGGAGACGCTGAGTATCGCCGTCATCGGTGCTCCCGGAGTGGGCAAAACTTCAATCATTCGCCAGTTTATCTACAACGACTTCTCGGAGGTGTATACGCCGACCCGCTCCAGATATGTGTACCGACCCTCCGTCATTCTCAACGGGAGCATGTACGAACTGAAGGTCCTGGACGTCCCGCCGATCTCCTCTTTCCCGTCCAGCTCCAGTCAGGTAATGCCGCAGCACAGTGGAGCGAAGTGACCCAGTACAAATACTTCATTAGTGTGCCTCAGCAGATATTTCAGGAATCTGTACTCAAGTATGTGCTTTTTTGGTGTCTTTGTACTTTACGAAAACAGATACCTCTAAGTATTTTTCTACATTAGAGTGACCATATTCTGATTTCCCCCCCAAAAAAGGGCACTCGACCCGGCCTCCAGATACTGAAAT